TTGACCTCGCATCCCTACAAAGCCGGGACGGAGCACGCCGGGTTCTCACCGGACCAGGCTCTCACATCACCAAGCGCGAAGCGCCGTGAGATATTCGGCGAGTCGCATGAAGGGTGCGGCATGCAAAGGCTTGTACATATTCACATGGTCATCTTTCTTGTGCGAGGCCAATCTCCTGAACTGCACGTCTACGGCAGTGGTCGTCACCACTACCCTGCCCTCGACGACCTGTGGTGCAGGAGATTGTTGAAGGGCTCGTGGCGGTTTGTGGTGTTTTTGGACCCAGCGGTAGCCTTCGGTATCACGATATCCCGACCAGCGACGAGGTCCAGGGGGGCCTCCAAGCGTTCCCCTTTGTGACCACTGCCATTGTCAGAGAAGCCGACAAGGCGATCGTGAACAGATGCGAGACCGCAAAAGAGATCCTCGCGGAACTCGACAAAATCTACGATCCGGAATCGCAGGGCTCGAAACAAGCCCTCACGAAGAAAATGTTCAACTTCACGATCCCCACACACAGCAGCAGCAACCCCATCGAGCACCTGCACTCGCTCGAGCTGCTGTACTCACGCCAAGGGCTCAACCCTGACGCACCCTTCGTACTCACCCACTTCGTTGGTTCTCTCCCACCCGAGCACCAACAAGCGAACAACCTGTGGGTGGAGGACCAAGTTTCAACCTTGGCACGACGGCAGCCCCGGGGCCCGCAGGGCCGCCCGCGCGTGTAGCGCCGGCATCTCCGCCGGCCGCGCCCCAGGAGTCGGGCGCGGGCGACGCTGGTGATGGCGCCCCCTCGAGCAGGGAGGGCGCGATCCTCGCCCCATCTACCAAGTCGACCGGCACGGCCGATGTGGGCGGCGGCGAGGACGACCGCCGCAGCAGCAGCAGCCGCGGTAACGGCGGAAGCGGCAGCGACAGCAGCAGCGGCGGCAGCAGCTGCGATGACGGCGGCAGCGACAGCGAGACGGATCTCCCGGCGCTCCGTGGGCCAGAGGCCCGGTGGCTCGCTCGCTTCGACAAGCCGGCGGAACTGACCAGCTGCCGCACCAGGGAGAACCCTCGCCGAAACCCGAAGTACGAGTCGCTCCCGTCGCCGACGAGTGCGGAAGCCCTGCTCGCCTCGGTGGCGAGCCTGCCCGTCAGCAGCACGGAGGGGTTCACCAGCTGGATGCTCTCGGCGGTACTTCACGTGGCGGAAGGGCTAGAGGTAAGGGCGGTGCGAGAGTTGTTGTTCGAGCGCGCGGAGGAGGCCCACGCTGCGCGCCAAGAGGCGGAGGATTTCCTGCTGGGTACGGTGGACCTCATGCTCAACTCGCCAGACGCCTTCGAGACGGCTCTGG